TGTGAGCTGACGTTGTGTCCAGGGAAACAGGAAAACATCACATCATAGTCACCATTGTGAGAGGGGGCGCGACGTGTGTGTGTGTTGTGATCGGCATTATCTGTGTGTGGGTTTGTGTGTGTGTGTGCAAGTCTGTGTGGTGTGGTTGTGTGTGTGTGTGTTGTGTGTGTGTGTGTGATGTGTGACTACAAGAGTGTGTTAAGCTGCTGCAGCAGTGCAGTCAGATTTATGAGCGCTGCCAGGCCCATTCAGCCTTTTCTGCCTCTGACTCACCCTGTTCTCTCTGGTCTGACCTCCCCCTCCATCCAACCTCACTCTATCCACCCTCCCCCACCTCCTTCCCCCTCCCCCACCTCCTCCTCCAACCTCCTCCTCTTCCCCCCCACCTCTCCACCTCCTCCTCTTCCCCCTCCCACCTTCCTCCTCCTCATTCTCACCCCCCCCACCCCCCCCCACCCCCCCCTCTCTGGGTGTCTATTAGCTGGTGCTGCTTAAACGCTTCTTCTACAAACAGTCACGTGTATGTTTTTTAATCGGCTCAGTGGTGGAATTTTGACTTATATTATTATTACTTTTGTAATGCATATAATTAACATTTTTTGTGATTTAAATAAAATTTAATACGAGGTAAACAATTTAAGGCGACGTAATAAATGTAAAATGGTCAGTAACAACATGTTCCTCCGTGTTCAGCTGCTGTTCTTGATAAAATGACTCAGTGTCACGGCTTCATTTCCACGGGCGCTTGATTTCATCAGTTAAAAGCTCAGGACATCTCTCTTCTGTTTCCTCAGACTTGTTAAATTTTTTTGGCAAAACCCAGATTTTTAATTGAAGATCGCAGCGTTTTTACGACACGGTCTGGTTGAGTTTTATTGATTTGATTCACGCTCTGAACATCCTTTCGTAACTGACAGTCACTTCATTCACTCACTTCGAGACGTCAGAGAGAGAAATGAAGCAGTGATGGTGAAAGGAGGAAGTAACTTGAGTCTTTGTGAATGGCTGTTGGTTTGAGCTCAGAACTTACAGCTTTGTACTCCTCCCCTCTCACTACAACTTCCCATCATGCATTATTCAGGCAGAAAACACTGGGATGCATTTGTATTGACGGATGTGCTGGCAGTCGAGAGCGAGCTGACGCAGGACGTGAAGGAGGAGAGAAGAAGGAGGAGACGCGTTTTTCACCAGGAGGGAAGAAAGAAGGTTGAGAGTATCTTTCGTTAACTCTCAACTTCAGTTCATTCTTCATCTCATTCTTCCACTTCCATCTAACCTTCGTATATCTCAATTTTAAAACAAGCCCGATCATAAAAGGAACCTTCGCTAATTATGACTTTTAATTACCTGAATTGATCACCAATAATGAAGCAATTAACATTACAGAGTGAAGCACATCACAGTTGAAAAACAGAGTTAATATTCAATATTAGATGCCATTAATATAAATTCATATATCCACTGTGAGGGAATGTGTTTAATGTACAGAAATATATACAGGGATCGTGTGGAAGGTGAGGATCCCGTCCACAGGCAGAGAGACGGTTCAACTCACATGTCGTTCAGCGGGTTCAACGTCTCGTCTGAGCTTTTACTTCACTTTCTATGCAGGTTAAAACACGTTCAACATTAGAGCGAGACGTCAACAGGCAGCATGCAGGGGGGGGGGGTTAAAGGTTAGAAAAAGGGAATCGAATCAGAGGAAGGAAGAAAAGTAAAAGGATGGGAAAAGAAAAAAAAAGAAAATATGATCATCAATCAAGCACAAGAGAAACAACATGCAGAACCAAGGCGACGTGATCTGAAATTGCCAAACAACAATCTGACAACGAAGGCGACGTCGCAATTTCATGCGTCGCATTTAAAACGCAAAACTTACACATTTTAATTGAATATAAACAAATTTAATGCGAGGTAACCACAATTAAATTAAAGGGTAACACAAATTCAAGGATATAATAAAGTTATAAAATAAAATTTAATACGTGGTAATTAAAAATGAATTTGAAGTAACACAAATGTATCTCGTTATATAATATATATATATATATATATATATATATATAATATAAAAATAAATCTAATGCAACATAAAGGATGGAAAAAGAAAACAATAATTAATCATTATCAGGCAACACGAGAAACAAGAAAACATCTGCATTGGCAGAACAAAACTGTACGAGCAGGAAACTCTGAGCTCCTCTCTGAAACATGTGAAATTCACAATTCATCAAATCAATCAATCATTAATTCCTTTTCATCTGATGGTTTTCCCCCCTCTTTCCCTCCTCGTGCATTCATAACCTTCCACCTTCATTTAATCCCCAACAACTGCAGCTGCTGCCGCTCACAAGAGGTCTCTGTCTGTTACTAAAGGTCATTTTTAGCTAAACTTCAGGGTAGTTGAACCTTTGTTTGAAAACCCGGAGCTGGCACCACAAACCTTCCCCGTCCCTCAACAGGGAAAACAGTCTCTCCACTAGTTTCTGAATGAACCGGCCTCAATTTTAAATAGTCAGCAGATTGGAATCAACTGTTTCCTCTCTCTCATGTAGAGCAGACGGCCAGAGGGCAGCTTCATACAGTCTCATTACAGGAAGGTTTGATCTGGACCATTCGTCTCAACACCGAACACTTTTCATTTCAAATATCTGATGGTTTCTGTTGATATTTGATGAAAAAACTTTTACTTGTTGATTCATTTAGGAAATGCAGGGAATAATTTACGCACAATGAAAACAGGCGGTTGCAGTGAAAAAACACTGAAGCCTTGCATCTTTGTATGAAAAAGTGCACTATAATAAAGTTTCATTACTATGAATTAAAATACTGATTATGAAAACGTGTAGTTTTAAACATAAAAACATCAAACGGATTTTCTTGTCATCATTGTACATTTTCTGAACTTTACAGTTCCCATTTGTGGGACTTTGAGGTTATTGGTATTAACCAAGCTGTGCTGCGGCTTCAGTGAGTATAGCTGTGAGCTACAGCTCGAGCTCTGGTGTGATTTCAGCCTGGTATGTATTTATTCTGTTGATTATTGATCGGTGATTCAGGAATTGTGAGTGACAGCAGAGATGAAGATGTTCCTCACAGAGAATGTAACAGATCTGACTGAGTTAGTACTAAATGTGAACTAAAGTTAATGTGACGCAAGCAATCTGAGTCTCGTTGACACGAAGTTGCTGAACGGTGGCCTTCAGTGAAACTGGAGCCAAGCTGAGCCCCCGGGGGCCCCCGGGGGCCCCCGAAGTCCCGGGCCCCGGGGGCCCTGTGGCTCCAGAATCTGATTGGGAAAACCTGTTTGAAGCCAGGACTTTTTTTACAGATGCAGCGTTTGTGACAGCACAGACTTGGCTGCAAGGGCTCCAGCAGTTGCATTGAGTCATTTGCTGCTGAAGTCAACAGTGTGTCGGTGGTCAGGTTGAACGCAGTGCAGCTCTCTCAGGGCCTCGCTCTTCTCAACATGGACACAATTTTATTTCTTTTCCTCGTGTGTCGGAACTAGAGGACGATGAAAGTGGGACCTTGGCGGGCAGGCGCTCGGTGGACGGTCTGCCAACAGACTCATCAGAAGGCTCAAAAAACGGCGAAAGCTGCAGCGCTCATCAGTTTGAGAAGTTACAGGATTTAGAACTTTCCTTCTGAGGTTTACTCAAAGGTCACCGACACAATATTCAAACACTTCGTTTCTGTTGTCTACAGCTGTCACACACACGTTCAACCGTCTACCGCATCATCTTACATCATCTACAAGCTGCAAGGACGGTCTCGGCTTCACATCAACACCCGCCGTCACTGAGTGACTAAAGAAGCTCTTTGTTTTGAACCTGGTTTCATTGTTCACCAATTCTTTGTTCTTAATATAACACGGTTCCTCTGAGCTGCTTCCGTTCTTTCAGACTGGAGGCTACAGTGAAGGCGCTATCAGAAAGTTGATGGGACGGGCCAGGAGCTAGCTGGTTTAGCATGCTAAAACTCAGTTATGAGAGGGGACAAATGTGGTGAGAGTAAAGGAGTAAAGTTTGAATGTTTTCTTTTCTAGATTGGTTAAGAAAAACAGCTGCTAATGCTAACGTTAGCTATTTAGTAATAGCAAACAACTTGTACAAGTAGCTCCTTTATATGGTTTTCCATTGGTGTGTTTTGGA